AACCTAAAGGATTCTATGATTCTCTTAGTTCCTTATAAATAAATAAAAAGAAATTGTCATTGCCATTTCCTGATGCAACCTGGTATAGTTTCTCTGATAGTCCTATATTCAGTTGGTTAACAAATTATGTGAATATTTTAAATGTATTATGACTGACGGAAAAAAGAATCTTGTTAGAATGTCTTTTCCTTATATTGTTGTAGGTACTAATTTTGAGAAGATGGTTATCTGTTCCTGAGGGTGATATTTGCTAAGCCATATATTCTGTCATGTAATCTGTAAATAATTGTTGCCTGTGAGTTTTACAGAATTTATCAAGTGATAAGAGCAAACTAATGTAATCTTTTTAATGTTACTAGGTCGCCTTGAATTAAAAGAAGATAACATTGAGTGCCTGTTGTCTACAGCTTGCCTTCTTCAGCTGTCTCAGGTTGTAGAAGCATGCTGTAAATTCCTCATGAAGCAGCTTCACCCATCCAATTGCCTTGGGATCCGATCTTTCGCTGATGCACAGGGTTGCACGGACTTGCACAAGGTGGCTCACAACTACACTATGGTATGTTGCTATTTTAAGTATCATTCACTTCAATTACTAAGGAAAATACAGAATGTTTTCCTGAATAAATTACTAATGTTTTTCCCCTAGAAAGCCTTGATCATTTTCCAAGCAGGAATACACATATGCTCCCATGATTAGAAATGACAAAATAAAGTTGCTGGTTTAGAGCTGGAAGGAAATAGGCAAGCGTTAGTGGCTCCCTGTAACAGTAATGAGATTGTGTGATATGTATTTAATAAAATAATTCAAAAGCTTGTTCTGTCAGTCAAAACTTACAAACCTAATAGTAGGCAAGCTGCCATGATCTACTCCAAACATAACACATTAACAAATGAAACTGTAGAATTCTTGTTTTGTAATGAGTAATGAGTACATGTACCTGGAATACTCAGGTTCAGGTTATACTTGGGTTATGAATGTGGGTGTTCATCAATATAGATTCTGCATTATCCTTAATTTCTTAGTAATGGGATATAAGGATGGCATCAAACAATTCATACCTTAGGCTAGGCAGTATGTGAATAAATGCAAATTTGCCAGTGGTAATTCCAGTTAATTTATAGGAAGACTGACCTGCTAACTTAATTAATCTTCTTAATAGTCACCCTTTTATTTTAATGTAACATGTTCTTTTCCTTTTCACAAGCATATTTTAGTAATGTTATCAGCAGAAGAAGGCGGGAAAATTATCTCAGAGGCAAGTCAGTTCATCTGTTCTTTGCAGAGGCACTGTGAGGTGTTTTTCTCTCTTCTTGATGAAATTTTGCCTATGTAAGCTCTTGGGACCTGAGTGAGGGCGTGGAGATACCACAAAAGAGAAGTGGGAATGAAGATAGTACGTAATTTGCTTTTGTGCCATGGCATTGCATTGCACTGCCATTAAACTATTGGCTTGGATCCAAGAGGTGTAATTTCTGTCTTCTGATTAGTATTAGAAATCCATGGCTTTTTCTCTTGCTGCCTTAGTTTTTTTCTCGTTTAGGAATACTTTTTTAAAAAATTATTTTTTTGTAGCTTAAAATGACTTCACTTAGTACATGTAACAGTTTAAAAGAGCTTTTTTGTTATATCTCACAATGTACTTCCTCACTGAATGGATCTCTGATGCATTTAAAAGTGACATACACACTGAAATTTACCAAAGCAGGTCAATAAATGGTGCGCAGATTGTAACTTCCATGTTTCTGTTCTTGATCTTTGTTACTCCTCAAAAGAAAACAAGCAGACTGCAATTAGATAGAGAGATGAAACAGTAAAGACAAATGTGGTTTATGCCTTTGAGGACTGTTAGAATTAATGTTGAGTGAGACAGTGATACAAAAAAAATGCACAAAAAGAGAATCTCCTTCCTCTGACCTATTTGTTCTTTTTCAGAATAAGCATATATATTTTTTTCTGTGCTGTTGTCATGTCCCTTATAAGTGGACTGCCAAGATCAGAATGCTAATAATTATTAGACTAATGTATGTTTAAAGATGAGTGTTAGGGGTTACAGCCTTGCGATTTTGACTGGCATTTCATGGCTTGTGGTGGGAAGGGGCTGTGAACTTTGTAAAAGCCATTCTTTTGCAACACCTTTCTGTTGTTCAGGCCACAAGAGAGCACTTGTGTGCCTTTTGGCCTTTGTTTACTTCAGTGGCAAAATTGTTGCTTTTAAGACTTTGATGTGGATGAAATTTAAATTAGGTGGGTTTTAAAAAGCCATTTTCAAAACTAATTAGTTGTGCTAGATGGATTCTTCCTAAGGCCTCTTTTAATGTTGTTTAGTTCCAACAGAGACATGAAATTGAATTTTAGTAATAATGAGTAATAGAGAAGGAGCTTCTTTAGTTTGAAATGAGTGTTGCTATGGAAACTGCATAGAAATGTATAGTCCAATTGAATCTTCAATTAAAATAAATCCCCAAGTAATTTCATTTGTTTAAAAGCTGTTTGAAAATAGAAAATGTTCCACAGTAGTCGGTGCTACCCACTTGATGCTCTTTCTGTTAGGAAGAATGAGAGCATACAGGTGAAGCGTACCTGTAGTACTTGGAAATTGGTAACATGAATTATTTTTATGCTGCAGTAGGCATCTTAGAACAAGGGGGGATTATACTGAGTGTAGTATATATTTCTTGCTCTTTCATGTCATTTGGGTTCTTTTAAAGGCCTTGAAGTAGAAAGTAATAATATAAAATAATTACGTTTTAGTTTATGTTTGTTATTCTTTAGGAGTTGTCCTTTGACAGAAAAAAAAAAAAACAGATTTCCATATAACTGGTTTCTTGCAAATAAAATAACTTGAAAGCCTTTATGACACATACTGTAATTTAATAATCATCCTACCTGCTTCAGGAAAATAATTATTTACGTGAAGACTAGAAATTCAGATGAAATGAGCATTTGGTTAACCTGAAGGACCAATCAGTGAGTTAACCCAGTAGGCATACCTCTGTTAATAGATGTGCTCTGTCTGAATAATGTTCATTAGTGTCATTGGAAAGCATTAGCAAGATTCTGTACCATGATTTTAATTGCATAATACAGTGTGATTAAGAATAAATCAATAAGAAAGGTTTGAATGCTGCACCTCTTCGTATTGAAGATGTGGATATACGTTATGCTAAAAGGACTTAAGTGTTGCATTACTTTTATTTGATTTTTTAAATTATTCTAGAATTTATTATTAAATTAACTTTTATTGATTACTGCATTGACAGTTGATAAGTTGTTTTTTCAGAGGAGCATAATTATAAGGTTATCATCAAAACTGGTCAATTTTTGACACTGCAAACTAAAGCATGAAATCCTCAGGATGCATTAAGTGAAACATGAAAAAAACTGCAGTGATCAGTAGTGGATTTAATGCTTTATAAAGAGCAACTCTGATTTTTATGCATCAGGGTTTTAAAATACAGTTGAGAGAATAATAAGATATATCTGGCTAAAGGTATCTTTTGTACAGAGCTTCTCTTATTTTGCTGTTGCGTATATATGGTATTGCGGTCATACAGTTATAAATCCAGGAATTCTTTTAGGCTGGCCTGTAGTGTATCTGTTCGTTTTCTTTTTGCACGAAATGCCTTCTGTGCATTTTTTTGTTGTCTTCACAAAGTCAAAAGAAACACTTCTTTTGTCATCTTTTTGTTTGAAGCAGTTGATAGTGTACCTTGAATGAAAACCAGTAGCTCCTCTTCCACAAAAAAAGTAAACCAAAGAAAATTTAATGATGAAAAGAAAATGACAGAAAAGCAATTTTGATTTTCCTCAGAAGTACATGAGCAGTGGTAATGTTACAAGACTCAGATAAAGTTAATTTTGGAGTTTGCATGATTTCTGAGCACAGCCAATGGCTGTTGGTAGGAAGAAAAACTTAGGGAGGATAGAATAACAGATTGAGGCCAAAAATAGAAACTAGGAATTTTGTAGAAGAATAGACGTGGGACACTTAGACTTGCTTTCTCCTGTAGTAAGGCAGGAGTTGGGTAACAAAAAAAATCATTGCACTATGGAGTTTATTATTTGGGCAGAGAAATCAAAGAGTCATTACTTGTCTTGCAACGGGTGGAACAGTTTGTTCTTTTGCTAGAGGGCAGCATGGAAAGGGGAGAAATTTCAGGGCTTATTTTGTCCACAAAGGGCCAAATTCAGAGAATGCATTAGTGCCTAAACCAAGGATTTTATATTCTTGCACCTGAAATTGCAGTCCAAAATATGTTGCTCGGTAGCTATCTGACTTGAAAGATACTCAGTCACTTCTTTTCACCTGTGAAAATCCAAGCTTTTTCTGTCTTTCAAGTTTCCTCAGTTCTGCCAGCGCAGCAGACTAGTGCTGCCTTGGCAAGACTAAATAGTTACATGCATGCTGCCCAGCCTGTTTTGGAATACAGAAACTATGCAGAAAGGAGTCAAGCTGGAATAGTTGTACTCTAAACAAACTCTGGGCACACTGAAAGCATTAGGCTGGTTTATTGCTTAACGCAGCAGTCAAAGCTGAGTATAAGTAAAGTCACTGCTATCTGACTAGTAATAGTTTCCTAGGGAGGTCAGATAGCTCAGTTCTTAGTGAATTCATACCTCAGCTGACTGAACCAGCCAGTAGACAAAATTACATTCCTTGTTTGTTCTTATTCAGGTCCTGTGTATCAAGGACCTCTTGCTTTTCTTCTGCCCAGATTTGGAGTTTAAACAGAGCAACAGAGCCCTGTGGATAGAGCTGCCTGTTGGGACACCTCAGTGTACCATCCTCCTCAGCCTGCAAGTGTTCTGCTGCTCTCCCAGGTTCCAATCCTTCTGACACAGGGTGGAGGGACACTGGCCATCTTGCTGGATCCCTGCACAGGGATAAAGTACCATTTAGAAATAAGCATCATGATGTCTTATCTTTTATGTGATCCTAATATTTTTTTGTTCTGTATCAAGTCCAAGGCAGGCCTGTGGTTAAGGCTATCAGTATTATTCATTTTGCAGTTGCTGAAGGGTGAATTTTAAGGTTATAATGTGAATGACCAGTGCACAACATTGAGCATATGGGGACTCTGTCCCTGTTTTAGCTAATACGTGAACCTCAGGCTACTCATTTGATAAAGTTTCCAAGCTCTTTAAGGAGCTAACTTTGTGGGTGGGAATCTTTTTTTTTTTTTTTTTTTTTTTAACTTTCAGGACCAGAAAGCAATGGACTGAAAGTGCAGACTGTTTGTTCTCTGAAATATCCTATTCTTCCACAGAGAGTTCCTATAAGAAGAAGGAAAGAAAAGGCTAATGAGGAGGTTAAGAATGCTAGGAGATACACTGGCTCCTCCTTTTTGTCTTCAGAATCTCTGTATGTAGAGGAAGAGGAATTGTCAGATTCTGATTATAAAAAAACCCAGACGTAGGCCAAAGAGTGGCTGTATTCCCAGTGGAATGCTTTGATACTACACTCAAAAGGAGTCTCTGCTTTAAAAGTAGGATGGGAGTAAGAGGAGGTTGAACTTGTTCCCATCAGAAAGCTATTGTCTGCAAGCAACAAGAAGGAAAATCAGGCTTTTTACAAACAGCAGCTGTTGAAGTGATGAAATCCAGTTGGAAAAAAGCTTTCCAAAGAGGATCCATGACTGACTTGTGCAAGATCAGCTTGTTGTTGCCTTCAGAGACAAAGGAAACTTTCCACGTGGGTGCTTTCCTCTTCCTATGATCTGGATAGACAATATGGCAAGTTTTAAGGTAGCAGTGCTTGCTGCCTGTTTATTCAGCAAAACAAAAAGCCCAGCTCCAGCTTTTGCATACTCTCTAGGACAGAGAATCAACAGAAAAACAGCAGTGGAAAAAATGAACTCAGTGGAATCTGAATTTCTGTGAACTGCATGTCTAAACTGTGAAAATTATTTTGATTGTTTTTCAGCATCAGTTTTACTCCCAAGCATTCAGTATCAAAGTAAAATAAGTAACAGTGCATGTGTTGTGCTACTGAATATTGGTACAGTCTTTTCACTGTTTTTACTTCTTGTATTTGCTAATTTCCCTAAATTTGATATTGTAATACAAAGAGTTTAATTAAAGAGGAAAAGACAGCTGTCTTTCTTCTACTGCAGTTTCCATTTGAAAGCACTACTTTTCTGTAGCAAATTGGATCTGTCTAGTAGGAAAGCTTTTCAAATATTATATGTAAAATTTTCTTTTACAAATTCCATTTATGAATACAGTTATGCACACAGATAACACTTTCTTTTCATAATTTCAACTCCAGAGTTACCTGTGGAGTCACTTTGATCTTTTCCCCTTAAGTGTCTTGGAGCCATTTTACATTTGTGTGGCTTTCACGTAAGGTGGACTGGTTTACTCCTCGTTATTTTTTTCATCTTTGCTCAGCATTCTTTAGTTACTATTCTTGGAGTACTGAGGTATAGCTTTGAAATTATTAGACTACGCAATAAAAAGGAAGAGTTGTTACCCTTTTTTTGGTTTATTGTTGTGATGTCCTGTGTAAATGCAATGCCAAACTGTATCGTATGGGTTCATTGCCATTTTCTGTTAAATTTGTACCTGTTTTGCAATGCAGGTCCTGCTTCATCTCCTAAGTGTCTCCTTGTTCTTCTGACCTAAAAATTCTATTTTATTTTCCCAACATGTATCCATTATTTTCATTTGTGTGCCATTCTTTCTTTTCAAGTCATTAAACAAGGAACTAAATAAGGCTGATTTTGATATTAGGCCAAGTTAGATTTCCAGTTCTGTGGGTCTAATGCACTTTGTCCTTCAGATGTTTTGGAGGTACATGTCATGGCAGAGCAAAACCAGCATCCCATTGGCTAGCTAGCTAGCAATCCACAGTGCATTAACGAAATTGATTGTAAGACTGTTTCATTGTCATGAAGTTATTCTTAGGTTAGAATACGAGATTAGCTGGGGTTTGAGCCACCAAAATATAAGAACATGTTATAATTCATGGGCTGCTTTTACTTTAATTTCCTTTGCTGCCTTGTAAAGTTGTATGGGGAAAGAGGATAGGCGTGATCTCACCCTTTTCCGTTACATTCAGGTTTTTCACTGGAAGTGCATAATGCTGATTATGTTTCTACATACTTTTCTGCTATTTCTGCCTAAAGTTCACAAAAATACTTAGTAAATATTCTGCAAGTCCTAGTATTATGAAGTAATAAGATATCAGTGTCAGAAATGTTACGTACTGTGACTCTCCTGTTTTGAAGCAAGGATTTGTTTCTGGAAATGACAGGTTGAAAGTTAGAAAATTGAATTCTATTGAAGTAAATATTGTTAATAAAGCAAGACGTACAATATTGTGAGTTCTTTGTATATTTTGCTCCCCAGTCAATGAGATCAGCTGTATAAACCTACAATATTATAAAATAAATGAAAGATAATCAATTTCAAATTAAAAAAAGTTGTTTATTTCCTATGAAAACTTAATGTCATAATTTAATCTAGCAGTAGTGGAAAGAGTTAGATGTGCCCAGTAGTTGTAGCATGTGCTCCTTGCTTGACCAAGCATATTACGTTGTATTGTACCTTGTCAACAGGAACAAACACCTTTTTTTTAATAAACAATAATTCAGAAAGTATTTCTTCAATTTGTAATGTCAAGATAGCAACCAAAACAACCCATTGCTCGTACCTGTTCATATGCTTCCCCCTTGGTTGTTTGAGCACATGTGTCTCTGTGACTGAATGATAGAGTTGGGGACATGATCAGGAGTCAAAATAATTCAGTACATTTTTATTTTCCTATTTTTTTTTTTTTTCCCTCCAGGGTCAGTTCTTCACTGGTATTTACTGGCACAACTGAGAGATAGTGTGAAGGGAGGGAAAAGAGGGGAAGATATAGTAGGAGTTCCATGAAATGTCTTCAAAGTATGATGTCACCTGTATTAAAAATACTTCTCTTTTTCAGGAAAACTTCATGGAAGTAATTAGAAACCAGGAATTTCTGTTATTACCAGCCACTGAAATTGCAAAGCTTTTAGCAAGTGATGACATGAATATTCCTAATGAAGAAACTATACTGAATGCACTACTTACCTGGGTTCGACATGATTTGGAACAGAGAAGGAAAGATCTCAGTAAACTCCTGGCTTACATTAGACTGCCTCTGCTTGCTCCACAAGTAAATTGTTCGATTCCTCTCTAGTTTATACCATGGTTACTACAGTGGGCATAACATCTACAGCATAAAGATACTGATAGTGACAGATCCTAAAAGCTTCAGGGTGCTCAACAGATTGAATTCTTAGAGCTGCACATAAGGACTTAGCATGTTGTATAGGCATGATAGTTTGTGTCTGTCTGAACTGCAGCATATTCTGTTCCTAACTTCAGGACACAAGAAGGGGTGGAGCTGCTTGGAAAAAATCACTTCTGTTGCCTAGAATAATCCTTATAAAGGCATTGCTGTCACTAGAAGTTGTCATTTTAAAATTTCATCTTTGTTCAACTTGAAGAGAGTACACTTCCTTCATATAATTATAGCTATCTTTGAGATTTAGGAAACACAATTTGAATAAATTATTTGGAGTGATTTTTCTTTTATCACCTCTTGATAAACCGTCTTCAGATACTTTTTGTTCTTCCAAGTGCATACTTTTATTCCTTCTGTGACATCTACACGTACTGTTGAAGAAGACTTGAGTTAATTTTATTTAAATATCTGTGAATTACAGTTTTCCTACTCCTGTAGGAATCTTTACTTTTACTGTTGTATAGCATTGCATTCATTATCTGATAGCATACATGTAAACTAGGTTTGATTTTTTTTTTTTTTTTTTTTTTTTTATTATTATAATTAGGGTTTTTTTCCCTTTCTTCTCTTGTGCTAGCCTTCATTGCTGGTCAGTAATCTTTAACACTTAACATACATTCAGAAGATTTTGCTTTACAGTTTGCAGTTTGTTTAGTGAAAATTATCCTTATCAAATGAAGGATTTTTAGGAAACCTGAATATTAAGTAGGATTAATTAACACAAGAAAACCTGAATTGGATTCATTGATAGCGATAAAATATAAACAACAGTTTGTGTATAACCTCTAATCTGGTATTCCTTACTATCTTGCTGGATAACAAGATTCACTAGAAAGTGGTTTAGAAGTGATATTTCCATACTGCTCATTATATATATACAGTGACAGTATTTTGTCAGTTATGACTTTGTAACTCATTTTTCTAGAAATATACAGTGTAAGCCAGTTGACCTGGAGGAAATCATTCTTTTACTGAGCATTTAATTAATTGATAACTAGATAACCACTGCTGTATTCCTTCTACTTCATTAACTGTAATTGAAACCAGAAATACATACTGAAATCAAATTATGTCCAGTAAGTAATTGATTGGGAAAACAGCAGAACAAAACACAAAAGCAATATCGCATTTCACTTACTTTAACTTTTCATGTCCTCTCCATACATGTACTTACATTTCTAATATAATATTTTTCTGTTGCCTTTTCATTTATTACTTTCTTTAACAAATTAAAATGTTAAAGCTGTGATTGCAATATGGCAACAATTAGTGAGTTGAATAAATTGGTTTGAAGTGCACAAAACAGTCTTAACATTTTCAGAATTACATTTAGCTTCACAATCACATGAGAACAGGCAATCTGACAGCAAACATAACATAATTAAAAGGTTTACGTTTGAAGGGTTAAAGCTTTTTGAAAGAACTGAAATTAGAAAATTGAACAACTTGCTGAAATCAATAATGTTGCAAGCAGAGATGCAAAGAATATTAGATTTGTACACTTCAAAAGGAAACACTTTGGGGAAATACTGTGGAACTGTAACATTGGAAGCAAAAAAAATTATAATGAATTGTCAGTTTTATTGGTTGGGCTTTTATGCATCTCTTTGTACGTAGCATTCTGTCATCTCTTTAGCTAATGCAAGCAGTGTCCTAAATATTTGCAAGTCTTTTTTTTGCTTTTATAAAGGCTGAAGGTGATTAAGCAATTTGAGTTACAAGACAGTTCAGCTTCCTTTTAGACAGAAATTCTTAGTACTTACGTAGATGCACTACATTTCTCTGTATCAGGTTTCTAATGACTATAATTTCATGCTAACATGTTATTTGTAACTGCTCAGTGGTAAAAGCCTTGAGTACAAGGAGCTATGTAATAATAAAACTTGGAAAACATTTGCTTTCATTTAAGTAAGCCCATTCCAAGTTCTTTGAGTGAACAATATTTACAGGAAATTGTAATACAGTAAGTTTATTTTCAAGAGCCTGCAGATTTTTTGGGTACTGAAACAATCTTAGATTGTGTTTCTTTATGGCTGAGATAAAGCTGCTTTCAGAGATGAAGACTCTGTGCTGCAAGAAAGCATTTTTATGGGTTGAGGAGGGTTTAGAAACTGGAAAAACTGTAGGTTGTATCTGGTTGTTGCAAAATTCATAGGTACACACACATAATATTGCTTTAAATGTTAAATGCTCTTTGTCTCTCAGAAAAAAAATATATTGAAGGTCTCAATTGGTCGTTTTGTGTGCAAGCCTGAATTTCCAGTCATGCAGCTATGATGATGTCTTATTTAGGACAGTAATTAATTGATTTTTTAAAATTTTTTTTTTTTTCTGTAAATCATGTGCATTTATCGCATTGTATCCTGGCAGTTTTAAAGGTGGGTTTCAGTTTACTCTTTTATAGTCACACAGTTTCCCTGTGAAGTGATTCCAAGACGTAAGTGATGCTTTGGGTCAAGAGAAGAAACAGTGTGAACTACTGAAACTGAAGAATGAAAATTAAGTTCCCTCTGCTAATTTACATGAGAGTATTTTAAGTTACTATTTTAGATAGAATCATAACATTGGCCAATTGACGAAATACTGCAAAAGTCAGGGTCAGTTTTCTGAAAAGTCATTGGTGAAGGGCTTTTTTTTTTTTTAAATATTCTGTGTATGTTAACTCTGTTCTTTGTCATAGTTTCTGTTGATTTGCCTGATGCAGAGATGTCCAGGCTTAGCGTTCTGTATTTAGCTGTATCTCTTCTGGAACCATAGATGTCATATTTGCTGCCTTGCAATCCTAAGGCAGCTTTAAGCCATGATGATATGATGTGCAAACCATATTGCTCACAACTTTCATGACTAGTCCCTTTCGTACTCCTGATTACTGATTTCACAGCAATTTTGCATTTGTTATTGGTTGCCTGTCAGCACCTCAACAATGACATCTCATTCTGGTTTATGGACTTGTAATTCTACTGTTAACAAAGTGTTTGGATTTTGTGATTTTTCTCACTATTCTGAGAACTGTCCAAGTCCCAGTGGGGGGCTTACTTGCTGTTTTCTGTTACTCAGGCCATGTCTCACGGCTCAGAAAAATCCCAGTTGTTTAGACTACATTAAATTTCTAATAATTACAGTTGGGACAGTCAACCTACTAATATCTTTTTCCTGCAATTTGACAAACAAAATACCTTTTAAGCTTAGTATCTTTTATTAGTAGTCTTTATTTAATTGAACTTTAAGTCAGATTTAAAATGTAAAACTTGCCAGATTTGCTCACATCCTTGATCTTAAAATTTTTAACAAAGGCTTGTATTAATTGATATACTGTGATCTGGGTCACTGTCAGAGTGAGAATAGAACATATATTAAAATCTTCAGCCTATGCCTGAAGGAGCTTTTACAGACCTCTGGACTGGATGGACTTTGGAGTAAGAGTGTGAGGTTAAACTGACTTACATACTCAGAGCCCAGTTTCTTTTGTTGAACATGGAAAATTCCTCCTGGCTTGCAGGTTGAGGACAGTGATTCTTCCACTTTGCTCTGGTGAGACCTCAGCTGGAGTACTGTGTCCAGCTCTGGAGTTCTCACAAGAAGGGCATCAGCCTGTTGGAGTGGGTCCAGAGGAGGGCCACAAAGATCATCATGGGGCTGCAGCACCTCTCCTGAGAGGAAAGGCTGAGAGACCTGAGGGTTGTTCAGCAAGGAGAAGGGAAGACTCCGGGGAATCCTTATTGTGGTCTTTCAATACTTGAAAGGGGCCTATAAGAAAGATGGGGATGGACGTGTTGTGATAGGACAAGGGTAATTGTTTTAAACTTACAACAGTAGATATAGGTGAGATAAAAGGAAGAAATTTTTTTACAATGAGGGTTGTGAAACACTGGAGCAGATTGCCCAGAGAGGTGGTAAGTGCCCCATCCCTGGAAACATTCCAGGTTAGGGTGGACAGGGCTCTGAGCAGCCTGATCTCATTGAAGATGTCCCTGCTCACTGCAGGGGGGGGGTTGAACCCATTTAAAGGTCCCTTATAACCCAAAACGTTCTATGATAACATACCTGTAGTGGCACTGGAATTTTTCGTCCTTTTGTACTTAGTGGCTTAACTTAAAATCTGAATACTTTATTTGTTAATAGTTTATTTTTACTTTAGTCTTTTTTTTTATATGACCATTTTGAAAACACATGGTTTTTAAATCAGGCAGTGAAAATCTTTGTATAAAATTGTGATCATGGAGCAGATCCTCCTGGAACCTATGCTAAGACATGTGAAAAATAAGGACATGATTGCTGACAGCTGGCATGGCTTCACTGAGGGCACATTTTGCCTGACAAATTTAGTGGCCTACAGTGGGATTACAACCTCGGTAGATAAGGGGGAGCAACTGACATCATCTACCTGGACTTGTGCAAAGCGTTTGGCACTATGGCACATGACATCCTTGTCTCTACAGTGGAGAGACATGGATTTGATGGGTGGGCCACTTGATGATGAAGGAATTTGTTGGCTGGTCACCCTCAGAGTTGCAGTGAACAGCTTGATGTCCAGGTGGAGAGCAGTGACGAATGGCGTTCCTCAGGGCTCAGCACTGGGACTGGCACCGATTAGCGTCTTTGTTAGCAACACGGACAGTGAGACTGAGTGCAACCTCAGCAAGCGTGCCAACACCACCAAGCTGTGTGGGTGCAGTTGACCCACTGAAGGGATGAGATGCCATCCAGAGGCACCTTGACAGTCTCAGGGAGTGAGCCTGTGCAACCCTTGTGAAGTTCAACAAGGCCAAGAGCAAGGCCCTGCACACAGGTCAGGGCAATCCCAAGGACAAATACAGGCTGGGCAGAGAATGGATTGAGAGCAGCCCTGAGGAGGAGGATTTGGGGGTGCTGGTTGACAAGAAACTTAACATGAGCCAGCAATGTGTGCTTACAGCCCAGAAGGCCAACTGTATCCTGGGCTGCATCAAAACAAGTGTGGCCAGCAGGTTCAGGGAGGTGATTCTGCCCCTCTACTGTGCTCTCATGAGACCCCATCTGGAGTACCGTGTTCAGATCTGTGGTCCCAAACATAAGACAGACTGAGTTCAGAGGAGGGCCACAAAGATGATCAAGGGACTGCAGCACCTCTTCTATGAAGACAGGCTGAGAGTTGGGGTTGTTCAGCCTGAAGAAGAGAGGCCTCCAGGGAGACCTGATTGCAGCCTTCCTGCCCCTAAGGGGCACTTTGAGAGTTGTAGAGGGAGTTTTTACAAGGTCATGTAGTGATAGGACAAGGGGTAATGGTTTTAAATTGAAAGAGGGTAGATTTAGGTTGAATATAAGAAGGACATTTCTAATTATGAGGACAGTGAGACACTGAAACAGGCTGCCTGGAGAAGTTGTGGATGACCCATCCCTGGAAGTATGGGGATAGGGCTTTGAGCAACCTGATCTCAGGTCTAGACAATCTTTAAGATCCCTTCCAGCCAAAACCATTCTATAATTCTATGAAAATATTTTCTTGTAATCTTGGTTTTATTTTTCATGAGGCTTATAGCAATTTTATTTCTTTTTCTTAGTTTCTGGCAGATATGGAAAACAACGTACTCTTTAGGGATGACATTGAATGTCAAAAACTCATTATGGAAGCAATGAAGTACCACCTCTTGCCAGAGAGACGACCTATGTTGCAAAGTCCTCGCACCAAACCTAGAAAATCTACAGTGGGTGTGTTGTTTGCAGTTGGAGGAATGGATGCAACAAAAGGTATTGGCTTATGTTATGATCAGTCGATGAGCTGTTGTGGTTTATTTTAAAAGTAATGTTTGATAGATGTTTTTACACGTTAATTCTAAAATCCAAAGATTCTGCGATATAGAACATGAAACATCTTAAATGTACACTGCTTATTAGGTTAAAATAACCTGTGTGGCTTTGATAATGTTGTTAACATTCTGAAAGCTAGTTATGATTGATTTGAAATTATCACGGGAATATCTGATTTCTGAGTAGTGAAATGTTGAATTGAGTGAAAACTATATTTACTTGAGTGGGAAGTATTTTGGAAAAGGATGAAAATGGCAGGGCAGAAAGGTGACCTGCACATACGTTTATTTTTTTTAAAAAAAAAAAAAGTTTTTTGGCTGATTGTTAAGTATTTCTGTCGGCTACTTGGATTCTTGGGTTTTCTTTTTTTAGAGATCTTTCCATACTATTTAATGGTAGTTAGAAGGAATCTGGCAAGTTACAAAAGCTGTGGTAGAGAAAGTTGTTTTCTTTCATTTGTTGTTTTAAAGTTGACACCTCTAGTACTTAATCACATAGCTTCAGGTTTTTTTCTAATATTACAAAAACAGTTGATTTCAATATATAATTGCATTTCACAAGGGTTTTAATATTGCTAGCATTTGTATTTCTAAAGGCTTGATTCTGTTAGTTAGAAATCCTGCTTTTTGTCTTGAGAAGCACTGAGAAAGTCCTCCTTTATAATGGTGCAGTTCATTCCTGAGGAAGTCAGAAAAGACTGTATACATAGAATTAAGAACATGCTGCAGAATGTTATGCTGTCTCATGGGATCAGCATGTTGCTGAAAAAAAACCCTATCCTAATTATTTTTTTTATAACTTGCATACGTTGTCATTCAGGAGCTACAAGCATTGAAAAGTATGAACTTCGTACCAACATGTGGACTCCTGTTGCAAACATGAATGGACGAAGACTGCAGTTTGGAGTTGCAGTCCTAGATGATAAATTGTATGTTGTTGGTGGCAGAGATGGACTGAAAACATTGAACACTGTGGAGTGCTACAACCCTAGAACAAAAACTTGGAGTGTAATGCCACCTATGTCTACTCATCGTCATGGTCTTGGTATGTAGAGTTCTCTAAAGGTTGAATGCATATTTTTAAAAGGTTATTTGTTTTAGGATTGGTCAAAAAACATTCAGAAATTATGTTTAGGGGGGTGGAAACCTTGTTTTAATGTGAACTGCTTCTTTGAACATCTTTTCTCCTTCAGATTATATCCAGCATTGGCTACCAAAAGGAAATTTGGTTTTATTTGTTTCTAAATATTTTGTGGTGCACACTGGACTGTCACTAGGAAAATGTGATCTTTTTTCCACTTATCCAGAAGCAATTCTTTTTCATGTCTGTGTTTTTCAGGAGTAGCTGTATTGGAAGGTCCCATGTATGCTGTAGGAGGACATGATGGCTGGAGCTACCTGAATACAGTAGAAAGATGGGATCCACAGGCTCGTCAGTGGAACTTTGTAGCTAGTATGTCAACTCCAAGGAGCACTGTTGGTGTAGCAATACTAAATGGAAAGTATGTGAAGGCTACTTCTGTTTTCTATCTCATTTTAATGTAATTACAGGACCATCTTGTATGACTACTAATAATTTCTCTTGATAGATACTTGTTGGTAGCATTACGAACCAACTTGCACAGAAAAGATACTGCATTGTATCAGGCAAGCTTCCCCACAGCATGACAGTGCCTCTCACTATTGCCTATGAGACACCATCTCTATGGGCTAATAAGTAGTTAACCATCTCCTTAATATAGAAAGGAGAAAATGGTTGTTCTCTTCCACTGAGACTCCAGTGATTTCCTCTTACTGTGATAGTTTGAACAACCGACTTCTAAAATTACTGTAAAGTCACAGGGGAGTACTCATGTTACATTGCATTAACTGAGAACACTGAGCTCTGGCAGAATGAGTCTGATGTGAAGTGGTATCAAATTGCTACAGCTGTTTTTCAGTGAAAATACGCCTAATTCCTACTACAAAGCATATTCAGACAACTAAGTCATTTTATGTTGTAGTCACAGGAAATGGCTGGAAGTGACTTCAAGGAGTTCTCTAATCTGTTCTGCTACCCAAAGGCTGAGTCAGTTATATCTAAAACACTCACAGCCAGGGTGATCTTGTTCTTAACCTCCTGTGGTGAAGTTTCCATAACTTCCCTAAGCACCTGCTTAGCCACTAATACGTCTGCGAAGTTCTCATCATCTCAAAACTTAAATAATTTTTGCTGATTTAGGTCACTGTTGTTTGTGTTATCCTAAGTGAACATGGAAAATGCATCTTTTCTGTCCTACTTGCAACAGCCTTTTGTATGTGAAGACATGTCCCCTCACTATTCTGTTATCAACACTGAATAACTCAAGCTCCTTCAATCTTTATTTGTAGGCCATGATTCCTATACTTGAGTGATTTTCATTATTTTCCTTTGGACTAAATGTGATTGTTTTATGGCGTCCCAAAATACAAGTGATACATGAATCAAGCTATTTAAAAAATAAAGATCAGTTGGAATCACAGAATTGTAGAGTAATTTGGATTGGAAGGGACCTCTGGAGTCATCTGATCCAACACCAATTCAAAGGAGGGCCAGCCTTAAAGTTTGATCTAGTTTCAAAGTTGACTAGGGTAGCTCAGATCATGTGTGAGTTTTGAATGTCTCCAGGGATGGAGATTCAAAAGCCTCTCTGGGCAATGTGTTCTGGTGTTGGACCACCATTGTACTAACATTTTTCTTCTAATATCCAGTTGAAATTTACTATGCTTGTACTTGTCTCTTTTTCTTCCTCCTTTCACTGCATACCTCTGAGAATGATCTGTCTTCTGTATAACATCTCATTAGGTAATTGAAGACAGCAGTAAGATGCCTCCTTAGCTGTCTCAAAAATTCTTAAGACTGCACAAAGGCACCTTTCTCAGCCTCTCCTTATCATGTGTTCTAGCTCCCTCATCATCTTAGTGACCATCAGCTGGACTTGCTCCAGTATGGCAAGGCCTTTCCTGTACTGAGAGCCCAGAGCTGGACACAGTATCCAGAATCATTCTTATATGTACTTAATAAAAGGGATCAGCTGTCATTACTTTAGGCTGGCATACTGCTGACTTATCTGCAGGACTTTCAAGGTGCTCCTGTCAGCACCCAGCCAGTGCTATTGTGTGGCAATGTGCCATCCAAGGTACAGGACTTGGCATTTGCCTTTGCTGAACTTGATGAGGCTATGGTCAGCCCATTTTTCTAGCCCATCTAGGTCTCTCTGAATAGCAGCCAAGCCTTCCAGCATATCAGCAGCTCCCCTTAATGTGGTATTATCTGTAAACTTGCTAAGGCTGATTTCCATTACATCTTTCAGATAATTAATGAAGACATTGAGCAGTATCAGCCACAGTATCAGCTTGGGAGGAACACCACTGCTGGCTAGTCTTCACACTGCTGATGACAGCCCTTTGAGCTCAGTCATCCTTCCAGTTTTGCACCAGCCTTGTAGTGGTGCAAACCATATTCTGCCAGAGCAGCTACAGGAATACTGTAGCAGACAAAGCTAACTTGATTTGCCAGATAGCACTGGGGCTGTGGCAGAACATTTACACTCCTCTGACCACAAATTTTCACTTTCTGCCCATATACTAGCTGATACGTCTCGCTTGAACTGTGAATATTGTAAGGCAGCAAATAGCTTTTCATAGGCTTTGTTGGGTTGGGTTTGTGGCTTTTTTTGGGTTTTTTTTGAGGGTTAGTCTCCTGCTAAGTTAGTACAGCTGAAATGCACCTACAAAGCGTTCTGTGAGATCTGGAACAAGTCCAGGAATGAGTGGAGATGTTCACTGGGTACAGGAAGGAGGGGAGAACTTGAGCAACTGGCAAGCAGAGTGCCACGAGCTGCCTTGGAACTGCAGTCTCAGATGCCTGTTAGGTCTGAAGCTTCCTTGATATTCAGCAGAGGGGACCAGGTGTGAAAAGTGCCAGAATTAGATCCTTGCATGTCTCTATCACTATAGAACATTCCCTAGACTCTTAATGTAGGCACCCACACTAGATGCCTCTATCTAAAAAACTTAAAGTTCATGTAGCATTTTAGCTGAGGGAGCAGTAACTTCTGCACTTTCTGGTCATATCTTTCTGTAACCTAATATATTTCAGATTATTTGCTAAAAACGTTCATACAGATAAATGAATGTATCTTTCTCCATGTCTGAAATGTGAAGTTACTGCATAAGCGATCACAGCTGTCATGTTTTGCAGGGAGCTTCCCTGAAATGCTCTCTTGCATAAAGGATTGCTATTTTAGTTATGAACTTTTTAGAACTGCAACAGGATTTTACAGTCCTTCAAAACATTCCTTACCTTTAAAAAGCTGTGTTATTAAACATGGGAACTTCTGTGGAAATGTATTTTTTTAAAGGGTATTAAAACTATTACTAAGAACTGGTAGGTCAGCCATATTTACAAAATGTTTCTGTTTAAGTTTGTTGGTCAATATATTTAAAAAAACAAACAAGTGCGTTCCCCAGACTGAGGACATCTTGACTAGTGCTTCATAGTAACTGTTGTAAATTCTCCACACTATCATAATATACAGCATCTAATGTTTGAGTATTTAATCATGCCTTAGGCAACGAAAAGATTTCATTAATGATACCTCAGGTGATCTCTCAAACAGGACATTATTTCTGATGAGTTCGTTCACTTTTAGAATGGTTTCTGATTTTCTGCCTTTCCAAATAATAGTGCTGAGCACTTCTATTTCTAAGCATAGATTGCACATAAACTCTGTGCATAAATACTTTATCAAGTTTATTTGATTAAGTTTAAATATTCACCAGTATTCCTAAAAATCCATATTCATGGAGTACTCCTAACCCCAAGTTTTTTCTTCTAGCGTTCCAAAAAGTTGAAACGCTTTCTCAGTACGCTACAAACCTTTATGTTAGAACTGAGCAAACTAGGCCACCTAGTGGGTGTGAAGGACTTAATGTAGCACTGTCATTCATAAATTAAAGCCCAGGTCCAGAAAAATACTGGAATGCATAACATGAGACAGGGCAGAGTTGTTGCATGCACAGATGTACTACTGAATTTGTCTCTCTGACCCTGCTAGAAATGGGCCTTTTTCTGTCAATCACATTAATTTAATGAATTATGAAAATGTGCATAGATTGGAACATAAACACTGTGTTAAAGATACCAGTTATCTGTAAATTATTATTATGTGTTAATCTGGATGACAGGAAGAGATTGGAGCAAAATCTTATCTGAGTTTTTGTAACAGAACATTCTATTAATAGTTGAAAGTTGTCTTCTAAACTTCTTTTTTTAACAAACTTGTGAGTCCTTCATATACCTCTGGTAATTTTGTCTACTTTATCTTGTTCAGACTACTTTATCTCTTTTTTTTTTTTTTTTTTTTTTCACTTCGCAGGCTTTATGCAGTTGGTGGTCGAGATGGAAGTTCTTGTCTTAAGTCAGTGGAATGTTTTGATCCTCATACAAACAAATGGACCCCCTGTGCTCAGATGTCGAAAAGAAGAGGTGGTGTAGGTGTAACTACCTGGAATGGGTTCTTGTATGCAATAGGTGGTCACGATGCCCCAGCATCAAACTTAACATCCAGGCTGTCAGACTGTGTAGAAAGGTAATATCCTGACAAAGACATATCCTGCTAGTAATTCTAATGGTGCTAGTCTACAGAGTGATTTATGGAAGGAGCTGTAAGTAGAAAGCAAATAAAATAGCTGTATTATTTTTAGCATTGTCAGGGGAAACATATAAAAACATACTGTATAGTCATAATATGATTCAAAATATTGCCAAGACAGATTATTTAAAGCAAATTCTCCTTAATGCACTTCACCTAGAATTTTTTTTTTCTAAAAATCTCATCAAATGCATTATGATTGAGTACCAAGAACAACTAGGAATGGAATGTTCTTAAAAATAGAACAGAATTTCTTTCACACAGGAAGTCTGTATCAGCTCATATTGTAACTTTTAAGGGAGTTAAGAGTAAGGCTTTGTGAATCCTTAAATATCCTCTTCTTTTCTATATCTCCCAAAGACACTGGGAAAGAGCGTGTCATTTTGCCATTCCAAAGTTCATGTCTCTACATAAAGTTATTAATGAAGGGCTGTATTGCAAATTGCAGGAGCACATGTGAGCCATGTGTGCAGTGCATTCATAGTGCACTGCATTAAGTCTTGACTGGCATTTCAACTACTTCTGAAATAGACTTTAATTATCCTTTTTTTTCCACCCCCAAAGTGTGAAACTTCTGTTCTTTCTTGTTATCTCCAAACACTTAGAGTGATTCTTCATCACCCATCTTCTCCTTTTACTGAATTTGTTTATGGTGGGAGATGTGAACCAACCAAACAAGCTCTACCTAACAAACAAACAAACAAACAAACAAAAAAAAAAAAGGCTCTAATTTCGAAGTTTGTGTCATGTTAGACCCCAAAATACATAGTGTACCCCATATCATTTGACATGTGGAAGTTGCACTAAAAACCCAGAAAGATTTGCAGGGAGGAAGCTATATCTTACCAAATACCAAGTTTTTAGAGGAAACCAGATAATTAGAAGCCCAGGAGAAAGTAATGGGTCTGTGTATTTTTCAGCATCAATATTATCTGAAACAAAGTTACAGAACAGATGACTTTGCATTACAAAATTATTTGTATTTATTAGTTTGTCCTCACTCTTTAAAGTGAGATGAAATTGAGGGCCATCAACTTCATGGACGTAGTTCCTTTACAAAATGATTACATTTATCAATTTCATAAAACCACACTAAGCTTCTGAACATTTGTTTACCACTATATTTTGCAATAAAAGTCACTTTTCCCAGATAAATATATTGGTTTGTAAAATAATTATAAAATAAATTGAAAGTTAATTCAGTATGTAGCTTGTTAATCATCCTCTTTCACTACATGATACTTCTATTTGCAGCATTTTTTTGCTTGTTCTGTTTTTTTTTTAATGCTAATCTTTCAATGACAAGTAATTCTCTTTAGTACCACACTCAACGTAGTACCCAACTCAACAGCCTGTGCTTTGACCTGTGGTAGTTACCACTTAGAGCAAGTGCTTGCTCTACTACAGTGCAGCATCACAACTGTTTATGGAGTGGCACATTAGATACACAGGAAAAAATTTATGAAGAGCAGCTGTATGTATATGTAGCTATCACTATTTGGAAAGCAGCACAAAGTAGATACATAGAATGTACTGGCTCTGTTACCAGATAACTAAAGAAACATTTTCAAAGAGAGTATTTTGGGGAAAAAGTCCTTTGAAATTAACACCCAAATCTGTGCTATGCTAGTAATACCTGTTTTCTACTACCTTGAGAGTGTCAATCGCAGTACATTTTTTTCTGTTGAATTTTGGCAACAGTTCTCCAGTGTTACACAAATGGTCGTTTCAGGTATGATCCAAAAACAGATATGTGGACTGCTGTGGCCTCCATGAGCATTAGCAGAGATGCAGTGGGAGTGTGTCTTCTTGGTGACAAGTTGTATGCTGTTGGAGGATATGACGGTCAAACGTACCTTAATACGGTGGAATCTTATGATCCCCAGACAAATGAGTGGACACAGGTATAGTTGCTGCTCAGACCATACACTACTATTTCTCTTATTTCAGATGTGCCTCTTCTTACAAGGAGAATTCAAATACTCCTTGTCTAAGAAGCACTTTCTTACTAGTCTGTTGTATTTTTTTTTTCATCTTTGTCTACCATCTTGAGTTGATTTATCTTGAACAGTTGTTAACTTCTAATAAACTGCCTTTCTTTCTTTGGTGAGAGTATAGCTATTTTCTTTGGCAATTTCAACTGTTGTTAATGAAATGTATTGATGTGTTCCCCAAACTGTTGTAAATGGTTGTTTACAAGACTTCCTGTTCTGAAGGTAAATACAGATTAGTTTTAGCTCTAACGTGTCTCTGAGCCAGTTCATCAGTTTCTTCAAGGTTTTGGTCATCTCAAATAATTCCTTTCCTGATGTGGATGCTAGGTACAGCATGTCTTAACTTTCAGGAAGCCTTTGCCCATTTCTCTAAACTTAGCTTAAAAAAAAATAATGCCGAATTCACTATCAGAGACCATTACTGTCGATTCAAAGCTTGGTTACCTTTACTTTTTTATAGCTCCACCAATGCGCCCCTCTGTGGGAAGAGCACCCACAAGGACATCCTGGGCAGGCTGTCCTTTGGTGACTAGTGCCATTGGAGAGTCCCTAAAGCACCTACATCCACAGAAGGCTGGCAGATACAGCACAGAATCTGTGGGAGACCAAGGCCCTTCTGGAGTCCGGTTGCAGGCCAAGATAAATGTTCAAGGTCATCTGGAATAGACACCAGTATTTAGGTAGCTGAATTCTGAGCACCTGAATATGCTATCCCAGTAACAGCCTCAAACTGCTAATTCAAAAAGAGAACGGAACCACTCCTTATCAAAATGTTTGTAACACAGAAAACTGAGCTGTCCATTTCCCCCCACTGCATACTGCTGCAAGATCATAAAACGTTAAGTCAGGTATATCAGTGGCAGTACTGCTAATGATAACCCATGGCATCATTTGTCCTGCTAAGGAGAAAAAGGAGGTGTACCAGAGGAGAGAAACTCTGCTTCTCACCATTGCATCCAAACCAATCTCGTAGGATGCTAGGTGGTGACCTTCTGTATGTGCCTTTGCATCCTTAGCCTTGACTCTCTCACTGAATCCAGTGATCTCAGTATGTAAGACAGTTTTGAACCCTTCCTAGACGGATTGGGAAGTGTCTGTGTATCTTCCTTCGCTCTTGTTACGTCAGCGGTCTGCCACCACACGCAGCTTCAGAGGGGGTAGTGGAATTTTCTCAGCTAAAGCTTGTTGGAGCCACAAACAGCTGAGGATAAGTCTGTTGTTCCTGGGAAAAAATGAAATGGTGGAGTTGGCATAAACACCCTTTTTTGTAGCACTTGTGTGCTATTCACACATACACTGATACTGTGAAATTTAAAAGAGGAAGCTTAGGTGAGTGTTAGAACCTACTACCTTCTTTTCAAGTCCAACGGAATCTCAGCAGGAAAGGGTCTTGCCAGAAGTAACTTCTGTTTAGCAAAAAAAGAAAAAAAAAAAAGGCAGACTGGGGAAAAAATCTGCTTTCAAGAACTCTTAACATGATTTTATTAAATACTCAAGTAAAATGAGAGGTTGCCCATGTCACATTTTGCATTCTCTGAAAGAAAAATGCATCTTTTTGCTAACCATTGCTCAGTTGTCAGACTGCCTAGCTTGGGTGTCCTGTTTGTATGGTAACAAAGGATTCTTTGTCTTGTAATACCAAGTAACTGAAGTTATCAATAAGAATTGTTTCATATTCTTGAGGTTTTCTGTTGCTTCGTTCTGTAATATAAAATATCTTCACCTTTTCTGTGGGTTTTTATCCAAGTTTTGGACCAATTTGCTGGGTTTGTTGTCCTGTTAGCTGTGTGTGGGTGATGCTGCCACTCTGTTGCAGCTGTACAACTATTATTACAGGCATTTACTAAACGCTGTCAGTTTTAGGGGAAAAAAATACTTAAAGCTGACTGCATTTATCTCACAGGTTACTTTTTTTTTTTCTTACAGGTTGCACCGTTGTGCTTAGGAAGAGCTGGAGCATGTGTAGTGACTGTGAAACTGTAAATGATTTTCTCTATGAAGGCAACATTCTACTCTGTAGACACAGACTATTTCTTTTTTCCTCAAGCGAACTACCAGTGCACCAATAAACATGAGGTGCAGGATATCTACCACAGCAAAGCGTTTGGCATCAAGCTAACATGTACATGTTGTTCTTACGGACCAATATTAAGCACTTTTTAAAAAATCATCTTTGTTACCTATACATTACAAGAGTTCTATTTGTAAGAAAATCAGCAGCAAGCAGTTTGCAGCAGAGGATTTCTGTTTAGGAATTGCTAAGAAATGAGTAAACTCATTAGCAAACTTGCTGTAATAATCAAGTGTTACAGATGTGGGGCCTTGATCCCCTAAATATATGCAGAGGAATGATGTTATATATGGATATGCTTCCACTGGATGAAACAAGTTACAGGGTTGGACCCCATATACTTAACTTGCTTATAATAAACATATTTGGCTATAGGTATCTGAGCTGTTACAATGCAAACCATTGTGTATGGCAGGCATAATCCCTGTCTTGGAAATGAAGTCATGTAATTTGGTGAATCTTTTGCACTTTTATCATCATTCCTAGTTTAGCAAACTTTTTATTTAACCAAAGCCTTATTTTAAATACTGTCTTATTATGCTAACAGAAATCTGCTATATAATAAATTCTGCCTGAGGTTTTTTGGCATCCAGTGTACTTTTGGGATTTTCAAAGTTTTTAGGTGATCTGCAGAACATCATACATTTTTCTCTACTTTAATTCTTAGAGTTACTTTGAGATTTTTAAGGAAAAATCTGTAAGCCTGAGTTATTGTAAGAGTTCTGAAGTGTGACTAAAAGTTAACCAATTTGTTTAATATTTGCACTTTGGAATTTTTGAAGCATTCCATTGCATCTGGACTAATTCCATTTTTACATGAGGCTTTGCACTAATTTGAAAAGAATAATTTTATAAGATGAAATGAAATAATTGTCTGTCTTTCCAGAAAGATTACTTCAAAATGTAAAGGGCCCTGTCCTGCAAGATGCTTAACTGCCACCATTTAAGAATGCATCTTGCGGGAGTTACGTGTGTCTCTCAGGATTCTGTCAAATTACTTAACCTTCTTTAACACACTTTTTCGGATACTTTATGATTTGCCTTCCCTGAGCCTGTGCTGTTACAGAGAGTTGCTTTGAAGGGTCTGAATGTTCTTGGAAATTCTTTTTGTATTTGCTTTTCTGTGCCTTGTTCCTTCTGTTTTCAAACCGGTAGGTCGTAATATATGCGTGTTTGCAATGGAAGATGGGAGACGCGAGCTCAGCGAATGTTTTTCGGAAGTTTGAAGCGTCCGATACCCAAAGTCTTTGTACATTTGTAATTTTAAATGTGTTAATGCTCCCGATGAACTATTTATTGTTTCAAAAGAAATTACTAAATGGCGAAACTTTGCGATGGAACCTGCGCTGTTCGCAACTGAATACAGCTAAACTTCAAACGCAGCGCCGTGGGCTCCGCGCCTTTTTTTCGCGAGCAGGCAGCCCGCTCTGCTTCAGGGTGGCCGCGCCGCGGCAGCAGCGTTCG